CTGCGGAAACCCCGCAGATGGCGTGTCACGCGGTCGCGTGTTCACACACGAGGACCTGGCGAAGGAGTGGAACTTGCGAAGGGCAGCGGCGGTTTCTTGTGGCCGGATGAGCCCCAGGTCTTTCACTTCGTAACGTATAAAAATAGATATATCGAATCCGAATGGAGTGAGCGGGCCACAATTGTGGTCATTGGGTGGTACTTATACATATACACCTACCTGGTGTAAACTTTTAGAATGCGGTGAACCCACTTGTTTTCATCTACTTCTCATTCCCGTCCTGTTTGACTTCTATAATTGGTAGCCTCAGGATGAGGAAAGCGGCCCAGTGGATATTCACTTTTTGTCGCCGCGTGGAGTGACGCACCACTTCTCATTGGGTGCGGGATGGCAGTGAAATTTTGTGTGCCGCGTCATGGATGGATGAGGCACCACTTCCGCGTGTAGCTTGTGGGGTTGTTGCTCGCTCGGGGTGCGCTGTGTGTCGGCTGCGGGGATGTGGCCGCATGCTCACGCGCCGTGTGGATCGTGAGCGCCTCTTGACGGCATCCACCCATTTCTCTCACTCTCTGTCTGTCTTTCTTTCCCTGTTGGGTGTGAGGCGTGTTGCTGCTCGTTTCTGTGGGCGATGGTTTTCCCTGCTGTTTCTTCCGGATTGTCTCGTGCTCCGCTCTCCGCGTGGGTGCTCTCCTCTGCTCCCAACTGACGTGTCTGATGTGTTGTCGCTGTTTCTGTGCTCCTCTCCGCCTCTTGAACACACGCACGCTAGGAAGGAAGCAAAAAAGCGCTACTCACCACTGTGAAATTGGAGGGCTCTGAAAGGACCAACAGCACACACACCGCCCACACTCACATATTTTTATGCTCTCACGTGTTGCTGCAGTCATGGCACCCCGCACACACAACCGTCGCCGCGTGACCGGATCCGGCGGAAAGAGAAAGGGAGGAAGAGAGAGGGAGCAGCAGAGGCCCAACGTTTCCCGGCATCTCTTCCATTCTGCGGTGCTGATTCTCCTCGTCGTGTTATGCGGCAGTGGGGCTGCACACACTGTGCAGACGAAGACTGACGTTGATCCTTTTACAGGGATTGGATGGACATCCCCTCAATGGGAAGGCTCTACAGAAGGTAATGAAAAATTCTTCTCGCTCCGCGTTCCCAGCCTTGTTGAGGTGAACAGTGCTGTTTTCGTGGTTGCTGAAGCGCAGTGCAGGGAAGACGACGAAGGCTGCAGCCGTGCTGGGATTGCGTCAAGGCACCTCGATCTAACTGATGATAATCCAAAGGAGATATTGACGACGAACACAAGTTTGTTGATGCCGTTTCCAAAGGGTGCTGCTACAGGTACCGCCAAGGCAAAAGAATCTATGCGGCCAACGACAGTTGTGGCTGGCGACAGTGTCTACATGCTTCTGAGAAATCAGAGCTTTACGACGTCGGAGGGTAAATCGGCTACTGCACGTGACTGGGGACTTTTGCTGGTGAAGGGAAGTGTCAGTGGTGGCAATGAAATCACGTGGAATGAGACCCATGCAGTGACATTTGGAAACGATGAATATGCTGCTAAATTTTCGACCCAGTTGGATTCTGGCGGAGGATCGGGGATTAAGACAAGGGACGGTACACTTATGTTTCCCATGCAGGCCACAGATGAGGACGGAAAGACCTCATTGCTGTCCATGCGCTTTGATAAGTCAGAGAAGAAATGGAGGCTTTCGCACCAAACGGTTGGTGATGGCTGCAGGGACCCGACCATTGTGGAGTGGGGAGAAGACAGACTCCTCATCATGGCCTCTTGTGAGCAAGGTTACCGTGACGTGTACGGATCCACCGTGAGTGGGGTGGATTGGTATACATATGGTGAGACACTTACTCGCGTGTGGGGCAACTCACATGATCGAACAGGGTACGGCGTCCAGAATGCCTTCATCAAAGTGACAATTGAGGACAAGGATGTGTTGCTTGTTACCCTGCCAGTGTATTCCAAGGACAACAGAGGAAGCAATAAAGAAAAGGGTCGGCTCCATCTTTGGCTGACGGACAATGCACGTGTGTATGATGTTGGGCCGATATCCCGTGAGGCTGATGACGCTGCCGCGAGCTCCCTTTTGATGAGGAGTGGGAATGAAAAGTTGATCTCAGTGTACGAAAACAAGAAGAGCGACGGGTCATACAGTCTTGTCGCCGTGAGCCTGGGGAAGCAGCTGGAGCGGATCAAATCCATGGTGAAGAAATGGAAGGATTTGGACAGCGCCTTGCATTCATGCCGTTCCGTTTCCAGCGGCACTGTCGACTTGCCAACGAAGGGTATGTGCAATGGTCCTGTTCCCACTGATGGGCTTGTTGGCTTCTTGTCCGGTAACATCTCTGAGAACACATGGAGAGACGAGTACCTCTGCGTGAACGCAACTGTGAAGAATGGGGAGAGAATGGTTCCCAATGGATTGACGTTCAAAGGGTCTGAAGCAGGGGCGGTGTGGCCTGTTGGCGACATGGGGCAGACTGTGCCGTACTACTTTGCTAACAACGAGTTCACTCTTGTGGCGACGGTTTCCATCCACGAGGTGCCGCAGAGTGGCAGCAGCCCCATTCCTTTGATGGGTGTGAGGATGAATGACACCAGCAGCACGGTCCTTTTTGGTCTGTCGTACACCCATGAAAAGAAGTGGAAGTTCACACTTCCCAATGGAGCTTATGAAGATGATGAATATGATGAATATTACGAAGTTAATAATAATTGGCAACCAAACACAACACATCAAGTAATGCTGCAAATGGATGCGAGTGAGTGGGATGTGTACGTTGATGGAATGCGGGTTTATTCTGGGGAATACAACTGGTATCTGTTTGAAGAGCACAGGGTCTCATGCATCTATTTTGGCGCGGAGAATAAGGAGCATTCGGAAAGCAGCCACGTGACAGTGAGCAACGTCCTGCTGTACAACCGCACAATCAGTACGGATGAAATTGCGCTACTCAGTGCCAGCAAAGTCCCTATTCCAAGCCCTGGTGAGGAGTCACGCTCGGTGCCGGAGACAACAACAAATTCTGCTGCCCAGGCACCATCACCTGAAGCTAAGAAAGCATCTCAAGACGAAGAGGAAGAAACAACGCAGGAAGTTGAGGAGGCGCCACGGCCACAATCATCCGTGGAAGCTTCTGGAGGCAGTTATGCTGCCGCAGTGTCTTCTGGGGGCCGTGGCTCGCACGGAACAAGGGAGGAGGAGACGGAGACGGATGGCAGCAGTGGATCGGCATCTCCACCGGCCTCATCGAGTGTGAGCACTGCCTCTCATAGGGGCAGCGACGGGATGGGTGTCCGTGAAGGCACCTCTCTGCGGGAAGAAGTGCCACCACATCTCGGGACTGAAGTCATTCCGAAGGCCGACGTGGAGCGACCGATCCACGAAGAAGAAGCGACCTCTCCGGAAGGGGCCACTGAGTGGCAGACGCAAGAAATCACTGCGCCTTTGGTTGAAAATGAAGACAGCGAGGACGTTAGCACCGCATCGGGCAATACAAGCACCCTGCCTGGGGAAACCAAGATCCCATCGAAGTCCAACGCAACAGCACCCTCGGACGCTGGCATTTTGCTTGAGAACGGGCATTTCGAGGAGTTGGCGGGCATGGCTCTATTTGCTGAGAGCACCGTGCATGGGTGTGTGTCTCGGATGTTGTTGCTGATGCTTCTGGGGCTGTGGGGCACTGCGGCTCTCTGTTGAGTGAATTTGGAGAGAAAAATTGCAGAATTCTGTGGAGCAACAACTGAGCGGCATCCCAGCAATACTCAATGAGTTTTGTCAATGATACTTTCTCTTTTCTACGTTTTTTCTTTTTTTTCTTTTTCTTTTCTTTTTTTCTTTTTTTTTTTTTTTTTTTCATTTTTTCTGTTTTTTGTTTCCTGTTTTTTTTCTGTTTTTTATTGTTTTCTGCATTTCTCCTGTTTCTTGTTTTTGGTGTTTTTTATTGCTGGTGCTCTGCTGAAATAATCAGCACCCCTGTTTGTGTGTTTTCCCAAAAAACGGTCGCCTGCTGCAAACCGTCATGCGTGACGTGTTTCCCCCTCTTTTGTTTGCTTTTTTTGCCCACACGCGGTGCCGGCCTCATTGCTGTGCGTCCCACGGACTGCACGAAGGGAGGAGTGGAGGAGCAAGCCGGATGCCGCATGGAATGTGAGGGATGTTGTGTGGGCTGGTGGGAGAGTACAATTCCTTTTTATTTTTGTGTGTGTGCGGGCAGTGTGTATAAACCCAAAAGCACGGTTGCATTGTGCTGCGTGGCACATGAAATGACATATATGCCGAGTCAATTGTTTTTTCTTTTTTGCTTTTTCTTTCTTTTTTCTTCTTTTTGTTTTGGTAAATCACTAAAGTCTCTTTTTTCCGTCTGTGCCGTGTCCCATGTCACTTTTTGTCTCCGTGTCCTGTTGACTGTCCCTCTGCCGGCTGTGCTGCTGGCATGCCTCCATTTCTTCTTCTTTCTTTCCTGCTAGCAACACCGATGGTCCGCGACGACGATTGTTTGTGTTCCCCCTTTGCGATGGCACTGGGGTGACTGGGCGCCGGCCTGCTGACTGCACTCGGAGGGGAGCGGATGGCGTGCGCCGTGCCTCACTTGTGAGTGTGGGACGCCACCCGCCACGACCTGCTGCGAGGCGCAGCGCTATTCCGTCGCGGCGGAGAGAAGCGAAGGACCGCGCCGTGGACTTGGATGCGCCCGTCCCTCTTGTTGCAGCCGTGTGTGTGTGTGTGTGCTCTGGATGCCCAAACCCACTTGCCCCGCAAATGCGGCAACAGAAGGATGTGGTTGCGTGGAGGCGACAATGCCGCTGGAATCAAACCGTGCCTGTGGCACACACGCAAACGGGAAGAGGAAGGGAAGGAATGTTTGCCTGGGCTGCTGGCCGGCCAACAAACTTTTCCATACAAATAGAATACGACGGGAGAGAAGAATGAGTCAATGGAGAGGCAGTGGGTTCGCCAAATCCTCGTTGTTTGCTCCGCGTATGTATTTATTCGTACATTCTGGTGGCCCCACTCTCGCGACATGATGAACGCTCTATTCGGACTGGATGCATATATATTTGTAGCTT